GATGGAGAATGGGGAAGTTGTTGGGATAGGAAAGAGTGAGACTATTGACACTGCAACATACTTTGTTCAGTCACTCCAACTATCATTTTGATTTTCCAATTGGGAAAGAGAGGAGTATTAAGCTTGGTGTACAAAAATACTCATTATTAGAAAGATACTTCAAGATACGCTCCTTAAGTCCATTTATATATTTATTTTAAAATATTTTGAATACGTTCTCACTTTTTAGTGTAACAATTGATTTGGAACGATTATAGGATGAAAGAAATACGTAGCTTTATGAAAAACCCTCACCCTTTTCTTACACGTGCTATTTAAGCATGTTCATTGTATAAGATGTACCATGGGTCAAGAAGCATTACATGATGGGTTTGACTTTTTTTTTCCTGAAATTGGGAAATTATTTTTTCTGATATTTCTAAGAAAATTCATATATGGTGTCGTGGTGGTCGGCTTCGCGCAATTCCAATGAGAACTGACGATTAGGAATTCCGCACAGAGAATTGTTTTTGGTTTAATTCAATGAGATTTTGTTTTGTTGTGGCTAAGTTTTTGTTATTTTTTTAGAGAAAACATGGAGATTGAGACTTATGTTGAGTTTAGAAATGGATTTACATATTTTGAGAATCACGTAAATAAAATATTAATGCAGATCGAATTTTCTATTTTCTATACACATTTTCAATCATACATTCAAATAATAAAATATTCTGCACATAAATTTAAAACTTTTTAACCACACATTCCTTAAATATTTATTCAAAATAATTTTTTTTCCCAAAAATTAGCGTTACCAAACATAGGTTTAAAGAGCTTATCAGAGTATCTTGAAATATTTTTTTAATAATGAATATTCTTGTACACCAAGCTTAATACTCATCTCCCTTTCCCATCTGGAAAATCGAAATGAAATAGTTGGAATGACTGAACAAAGTATGTTGCAGTGTCAATAGTCTTACTCTTTCCTATCTCCACAACTTCCCCCTTCTCCACCGATACACGAGAAAGTCGCAGAGAGTATATCACTGTTCCCCACCCCCACATCTTTTCCCCTCTTCCTAATAAACTCACAGAGAGAAACCAATCAACGACCAAAAAATGAAGCAGGTGAAATTAACGTCCATCGTATTTTACTCATTAAACTCCACAAGAACTTTTACAACTAAGCTCAGCACCCAACGTTTCATAGCACGCTCTGTCCACTACTTTCAAATGGGGTCTCTGTTGAGGCGAAATCCCAGAATTTTTATGTCCAGACACATTTTTTCTTCTGCAGCCCACAATCTTTCATGCTCGAGAAATGGGGAAGGTGGGAACAAGGAGGATCAAACTTCCAAAGCTACCATTACTGTGAGAGCATTTTTTTCTCCACTAGATTCGAGTTCTTGTATTTTTTGCATTATTGTTATCAAAGGCGGATTTGCATTCATGTGGATACACATTAGTTGGAGTGTAAATATCGATTATTCAACCAAAACAGAAAACGTGACATCTGTGCAATATGTTTTTATTTCTATCTTTAAATTGTAGGTTCTTCATTTGGATTATGTGTTTGTACTACAATAATGCTTATGTAGCTCGTTTTAATATTATTCGTAAACTAGTAAATTAAGTTGCGGAATATCGTTTGAAGNTACTCGTAAACTAGTAAATTAAGTTGCAGAATATCGTTTGAAGGGTATCAAGATTGTTTCTATTTAACCATATTAAAATAAATAGCATCGAATTTGGTGACCAGCTGACTCTTATTATTGATTCGATCATGTTCATAAATGCGTATATCTTTTCTTGCTTTTGGGAGGGAGAATGAGGGAGATGCATTATATAAAGTGGGAGAGTTGAGAAAATTTTGAAAATCTTCGTAACCAAGTTAGCAAATGTATTGTTCTTGACTATTGAAAAAGTTGGTACGAGTTCAAATTTTTTGAGGAATACTTTTGGAGTTCAAGTTTGTAATGTGAGTATCAAAATAGTGTACATTGAGATACTTTTAGGTTCAATTATTGGACAATGCGAAATCTCCATTTTTTTCTAGTGAAGAGCAAAATATTGATAAAACAATTGTTCAAGAGAAAATATATACATTCATTTTTTACCACACGATGAAGAGTGTGTGTGATGCTTTTGTTGTAGTGTTACTTTGATGACTTTGGTGGAGCAACATAAATAGAACTTTATTATTCCTTCATCTCTAATTACAAATTATGTGGTTCTAGGATTTAGAAACTTGAACCTCGATAATGTAAGTTTAATTTTTTTCTTTTTATTTACATTTACAATATTTTTTGGCAAACAATTTTTATTTTTTATTAATTTAGATGTCTTCGATGTACAATTTGTTTTATTTAACAATGTATAAATAAAGATGACATTATGTATTTGATTTAGTTACAAACAATTTAAAAAGTATACTTGTCATATTGTTAACCGTGTGAATGTTCTTTTCTCTAGATTAGTGAGCATTCATTTGTACGNTCGGTTCGGGTCTCTTCAGAACCTAACCGAACCGACCAACGGACAGCCCTAGCACCAAGCTTAATACTCATCTCCCTTTCCCATCTGGAAAATCGAAATGAAATAGTTGGAGTGGCTGAACAAAGTATGTTGCAGTCTCAATAGTCTTACTCTTTCCCCTCCCCACAACTTCCCCCTTCTCCACCGATACACGAGAAAGTCACAGAGAGTATATCACTGTTCCCCACCCTCACATCTTTTCCTCTCTTCCTAATAAACTCACAGAGAGAAACCAAGCAACAACCAAAAAATGAAGCAGGTAAAATTAACGTACACCGTATTTTACTCATTAAACTCCACAAGAACTTTTACAACTAAGCTCAGCACCCAAAGTTTCATAGCACGCTCTGTCCACTACTTTCAAATGGGGTCTCTGTTGAGGCGAAATCCCAGAGTTTTTATGTCCAGACATATTTTTTCTTCTGCAGCCCACAATCTTTCATGCTCGAGAAATGGGGAAGGTGGGAACGAGGAGGATCAAACTTCCAAGGCTACCATTACTGTGAGGGCATTTTTTTCTTCACTAGATTCGAGTTCTTGTATTTTTTATTTTACTACGTATTGTTATCAAGGGCGGATTTGCATTCATGTGGGTACATATTAGTTGGAGTGTAAATATCGATTATTCAACCAAAACAGAAAACGTGACATCTGTGCAATATGTTTTTATTTCTATCTTTAAATTGTAGGTTCTTCATTTGGATTATGTGTTTGTACTACAATAATGCTTATGTAGCTCGTTTTAATATTACTCGTAGACTAGTAAATTAAGTTGCAGAATATCGTTTGAAAGGTATCAAGATTGTTTCTATTTAACCATATTAAAATAAATAGCATCGAATTTGGTGACCAGCTGACTCTTATTATTGTTTCGATCATTTTCATAAATGCGTATATCTTTTCTTGCTTTTGGGAGGGAGAATGAGGGAGATGCATTGTATAAAGTGAGAGAGTTGAGAAGATTTTGAGAATCTTCGTAACCAAGTTAGCATATCTATTGTTCTTGACTATTGAAAAAGTTGGTACGAGTTCAAATTTTTTGAGGAATACTTTTGGAGTTCAAGTTTGTAATGTAAGTATCAAAATAGTGTACATTGAGATGTTTTTAGGTTGAATGATTGGACAATGCGAAATCTCCATTTTTTTCTAGTGAAGAGCAAAATATTGATAAAACGATGGTTCAAGAGAAAATATATAATTTCATTTTTTACCACACGATGAAGAATGTGTGTGATGCTTTTGTTGTAGTGTTACTTTGATGACTTTGGTGGAGCAGCATAAATAGAACTTTATTTTTCCTTCATCTCCAATTACAAATTGTGGTTCTAGGATTTAGAAACTTGAACCTCGATAATGTAAGTTTCATTTTTTCTTTTTATTTACATTTACAATATTTTTTGGCAAACAATTTTTATTTTTTATTAAATGTCTTCGATGTACAATTTGTTTTATTTAACAATGTATAAAGATGACATTATGTATTTGATTTAGATACAAACAGTTTAAAGAGTATACTTATCATATTGTTAACCGTGTGGATGTTCTTTTCTCTAGATTAGTGAGCATTCATTTGTACGGAGTACATTAATGTCAATGATATTGCACGTAGTATTTCTTTAGATAAAACACAATTGACAGTGTTTGACACTATACATAAATATCATTTTAAATGTGTAATGTCGTTTCAGGGCTTGGGTGCCAAGTTAAATGGGAGTGATTGCTGTTACATGGTAGTTTTTCAATATGGATCAATTGTCTTATTCAACATCATAGATCATGGGATTGATGGATATCTAAAAATTATTGAAAGTTACGCTTCAAGGTTGCTCCTTGAGATGAGCAAGGACGGTATGTTCTATATTCTAGTCTTAAACTTGTGCAGAACCTTTGTCGTGATTTTGATCATGCACTGATATTTATCATTTGCAAATTTTTGATAACATGTTCTAACCTTTTTTTAGGAAAAATTGCAACTACAGTCCCCTAACCTTCAATTGTATCAACGAAAATCCCTAACCTTTCAGAAATATACATTTAAGAGTCCAAATGAATGAAAACCATCCAGTTGACCAAAAAATTTGATTTTGACCAAATTTAGTAAGAGCACATTGATAACTTAGTTAATCCCATATTATAAAAATAAAAAAATAAGAGGAAAAGAAATGAAAAAAAGGTTCTCCTTCACTCCATAAACCCCCTTCCGACCCCGAAGGCCCCACCCCTGCAAATCAATTGCGAGCACTGCAGCCTAATGTTGTCACCACCTCCGACACCACCACCGACGTCAAAGCAATCAACTGCAGTGCCCATTCAATATTCCTAGAGCTGACACCAGCAAAGCAGTAAAACCACCATCCTTATAAGCCCCCTCGCTACTTCCACAATTCAATCTCTCTCGCTTTGAAAAACCCTCCCCAAACCTCCTCCTCCACCATCTACGACGGCGTAAGCCCTTGTTTTTTCATCAACCCCTTTAAAGACCCCAAATGGCGACGGCTACGGCCCCATCCTTCGAAATGGCTGATGGACCCGTGCTTAGTGTAATCAACAAATGCCTTCGAGCCCTCCGCAAAAAGCAAAAATGCATTATCCAGATGGAAGAATCCCTTGCCCAAGGTAAAACTCTCAACAAGGAACAAGAAGAAACATTGCACTCCAAATCTACCGTCCTTGCTGGCATCGATGAGCTCGAGAAGCTTCGCAGGCCGCTCATGGCCGCTCTCTCCCAGGAATTCTCTTTAGCTTTGGAAAAACTTCAAAACCTTGAAACCTCAATTGGAGAACATCCAATTGAAGTAAATCCAGCTGAGGAAACACGGAACACCGAGAAGAAGAAGCAGGCGGAACCAGCTGTGAAGTGAAGGAGAACCTTTTTTTCATTTTTTTTTTTAATAATATGGGATTAATTAAGTTACCAATTTGCCCTGACTAAATTTGGTCAAAATCAAATTTTTTGGTCAACTGGATGATTTCCATCCATTTAAACTCCAGATACATATTTCTGAAAGGTCAGGGACTTTCGCTAGCACAAATTGAAGGTTAGGGGAAAAAAAGAAAATGTTAAGGACCGCTGTTGGAATTTTCTCCTTTTTTATGCCTGTTAAAGCAAACCTTGAAACTTTATATTTCTTATTTTCAAAACAAAACAAGATATGTGTTTCATATAGTAAAACTTGACATTTCTCTCCGTTCCAATAGAATTAGAAAGTTGATGTACATTTTACTGAGCTCCTTCTCATTGGATTCATGACTTAGTATGGTAAATGACCGATGACAATCATAGAAAAAATGTCTATCGGATACTAAATAGTTTAGCTCGGTGTTATTAGGATTTTAGCTCAATTATGTATCTGGATTCTGGAATCAAATACGTGTTTTATTTGGTAAATCTTGATGCATATTTTCTTTAAAATTTATAAGCATACGATAACACGTAGTTTGTGTGTCATTCTTGGTCATTTGTGTCTCTCTTCGCAATGTGATGAATTTTCGAATTGCTTCTGAAAAATAGAGTACGGTCATTCTGGTGACCCAAAACGTGATGTGCGCCGATGATAGATGCTGACTAAATAACAGATCCACCACCAAGACTGACTATGAATTACTGCTAAATATGCGTCAAACAAGATGCTAATTAACAAATAATGCAATGGGCCCAAAATAATTACTACGTGCTTTATCAAATAAATCACATCACTCTATATGTCGTGTGGCTACTTTGAAATCATCAGGCTCCTCTAGCTATAAAGAACCAATTGCTACCTGCAGGAAAAATCGTGGGAAAAAATATGAGGGGATGTTTGATGGATATTATTGAGGAAAGAAAGTATTTTAAATAGTGATATGAAGGGAAATATGTAATTAAAAGGTAAGGAAAAGTTATTGATGTGTTGAAAAATATTATTTTATTGAAAATTGTGTGGTTGAAAATGAATTTTGAAAGAATGTGTGTCAAACAAGGGCTGAGTTGATAGCTCAGTGAGTAGATAAGTTCGAAAATAATTATACTTTCTCATTTATACATTTTTATCGAAAATCGAATTGAGATCAGTTAACAGTTCACATTATAACATATAATGATAATCAAGATGTGAAACATTCCCATAACCCTATAAAATACTATATATATTGCTATATCCAACCTGTAAATTGTAGACTGAAAATCCATCGGGTTTTTATTTGTTACCAATTATACCATAGTACTATTTGGAACTATGCTACTTTTTCCTCACATGAAGGAAATTGAATCCTATTGAACAAAACTCCTTATATCTTCGAATTGAGATTCCCTCGTTTGTTAGTTGAATTGCAACTTTATTTCCTTTTCTACATGTGTAAAAATTTAGTTTCATTTTGGTTTGTTTAATTATTGATTTGATCAACAAAGTATTGTATCCCATCCTACAGTATTGTAAATG